ATTAGTATCTTGAAAATTTGTACGACATATCAAGATGACTCTTAGCTGGAACTCTTATACAATCGAGAAGAATCCTAGCTGACACGTTTTTAAATAGCCTCGCAAAACTAGTGTGCCGTGCAAATTTTCACAGGTCGCTTTCGACGACCTCGTTGAACAGACCTCCTCCTCCGAGAATTTTCACTCATCAAACGCTTCTCGTCGATAAACGATTCTGTCAACTAATGATTAGCGCGTGTCCGTGCAGGGACGCCCATTTCGGTTTCTCACCCACCGCTGGTCGCATCGACGTTATGCCGTATTTCACTGCACAATTGCATAGGGCGCGAGCGTCGGGCGCATCACCATTTCGCGAGCGCGACGTAACATCGTCGTCATCGCCGTCGCCTTCGACGGCCGATAATGAGTCTTCGTCCCTCTCTCGCGATCGCCCTCCTCGTCCATGTTTATTGAGCCCGGTCATCGTATCGGAAATTCCCCCGAGGATGACGCATCATCGTCGCGACGTCTTTCCCTCTTCGTAACCGCTGGTTACGCGTGTCTCAGCTTCCGGAATCTGTTGTAAATCTGTGTATCGAGGACGGGTCGCGGATCTGTCCGTCCAAACGGGGGAGCGACGAGAAGTTTTTTCATAGACCACCGGCGACGACGACGACGACGACAGCGGCGGCTGCGAACGAAGGCGACTGCTGGTGCATTGATCTCTGCGTCTGAAGCGCGGCCTGTGGCGTTCTGTACCGACCTGCCTCAATGTGAATCTCAACGCCGACTCCTCGCCGTGCCTTCCTCCTCCCTCCCCCCCCCCCGCCCCTCTATCTATCCCCATCACCCTGCAGAATAAGCCGCTGCTTCACCAGCACCCGTCGCTTCCGGCATAGATCGGAACAGAACAGACGTTCACGTCGTGCAAATTGGAAAAAAAAAGTGGACGATCACATTTATATTTGGAGCAACGTGGAATTCAGAATGTAGATTGCAACGCTGAGCTCCCAGAAATTAATGACAAAGTCGATGTGATCAGTAATTTTCTCTCACAATCACATTACGATTAGTTGTGCACTAATCTATTGAATTATGTTAAGTGGTCGAAACGTAAAGATCAGTTGGTCGAACGGAAAATATGTCTGGACACGAGCCATGATCCCTTTTATCCTATTTGCGAATCCATATAAGAGCCTTATACAAAGTTTTGTGTTACAACGAAATGATTTATTTTCCAAGTTCATAGAGCAGAACATATTTACGGAATATTCTATTGAATGAGATATGTTTTTCTCTTTGCACAACATTACATAATATTGTGTTAAAATTTCTATTTCACAATGTCATTATTTATTTGCTGCAAAGAGATTATTGATTAAATTATTTCTGTCAAGTTCTCTTTCTTTTTAAGTGTTACGTCATTCGTTAGTTTCTGCAATGATATTACTAATTAGATAAAAGAATCTTCATTAATTAATTAATTGAGAGATTATTACTATGAAGAGATTAAAGAATTTTACTCTCAAGAAATTGAGGGAATTATTATCATGGATATCTTTTCTCGTAAATATTTATAATAAGGCATTTGCATGAAAATGCAGACATTTATAAATTGCCAAAAGCTTTATTCAAATCTAAATCGTCCGCGTTTGCAGAGACGTTGAGTCATCCCGAAAATATTTCTAAAAGCAGTCGCAATCTAAATACATTCCAGTTTTTGATAAATTTTCTCAAAGCATAATTCGACTATAAAATTCCTTAGCGAAAAGATAAGACGTATATATTTATTTTTGAAACAGGAGACAGTGTGTTGTATGCAAAATATATTTTAGTTATATTATGAATCATGATTATTCGCTGATAAAGACATCATATTTGATGTCGCTCTGACGTTTCACCTATCTTATCATGATTATCAGCGTCAAGTTACGCTCATAACTTCTGAATCGAATACGATTCTTGGAACGAACATGTGTCAATGAATCACACGTGATTCAGATTCAGCAACTGTCTCTATACATTAGCTGTACGAGAATAGCAAAGTATTTTCGTACTCCCCTCAAGGCGTACTTAAATGAGATGTACTTAAATACCTTCCGGATACCAATACTGTATTTTTTCCATAGTGTCACCCCAATCTTTCGGCGGTAGATTCTTGTTCCGAGATATTTCCACAATCCGTTCCATGTTTGGCGCGAATCCTCGACTGATAATGTCACCCTTTCCCCTCCCCCTTCCTCCTCCCCAAGAAGATACAAATTCACTATAAAAATGTTTCGCGTCTCGACACCGTTACCGGTCGCAATTAATTTTGTTTCGTTTCATGCACTCGCAGCAAGTCCAAAAATAGTCTTCCCTGAATTTCGGTGAATTCATTCGATGCTATGCAGCAAAATACATACTGATTTGTACAATGTTTTCTCGTTACACACACTTGTCTCTTTGATAAAATTTTCGTTTACTTTCCATTACGTAGGATGCTGCACGCAAGCTGTAAGGAAGTAAGGGACAAGTTAGCAGCACAAGAGTTTTACACGTGCCAGTCATCGCGTTCGTCATGACTGACGTAGAAACCACTTTCGAAATTTCATAGCATCCAACTCAAACGCACCGAAATATATTGATTTTTATGTTAAAAAAAAAAAAAATTCAACGAGCAGACTTTCGCGGAGTTCCATCGACGGCAACGACGAACCGACGACTACTTGCGCCAATTCGTGTCCGCACAATGATATCTCGCGAGGAAAGATCTCGTGAAAGTATTCGCGGAAACGAACACGCGGTGCACTGTGATCGGCGCGGCCGAACGACGAGGAAAGATGTCAACGGTATCGCGTCGGTACGGTTACTATACAGTGACACATCGCGTTTCGCGCGAAGGGAAGTTTAGTCGCCGTCGTCGCCGTGTGTCTCGCGTATCACCGGTGAAAACAGTCATGCATCGAACGCGAAATTGTACGCGAATGACGTGCCAGTCATTCATGGAGCCCGCCGTCATGCCAATGGAATGTGTGCATCATGGTGGCGGCGAGCAAGCGCGGGCCAAGCCACGATTGTTTAGTACCGGCTCTCGGCTCCGTGAGCGACACTCCGCCACGTGTTCCGCGGGTTAAATCACAGCGCGCGCAGCGACGAGACGACTTCCCCTACCAGCGGCGCTCGCGCCTACTGACGACACGGCGTATGACGTCACGACCAGCTGATTGCGCTCTAGTACCGGCGCCCTACTGCCGCGCGCGTTGTCCCGCTTCCGGCCGCAGTACTCCGATCTGTATTCTGCTCGATTTCGTTCCATTTGTCCATAAAAATTTGTTTCGGAAAATCAATAGTTTCTATTCCCCTTCGTTCTGTTTTTGCTTTTGCAAAGTTGGGTGCAACAATGGAAATCGAAACGTAAACTGGGTACATTAACCTAGAATTTGTCACATTAACAAATTTAATGTAAGAAAAACACTTTTTGGACAAGTTGAAAGATAGGATGTGCGAAAAATAGGATTGTGTAATTGATATATTGCATATTTTTCTATATGTGCCTCTTTGAATGGCTGTTATTTTTGTAGTGCATAGACTATAGCTTTATAAGTTCATGATTTGATCATATATATCGTTTAATCATATTTAATCATTTTTTATAGTCTGTTATACGTTCAATTAGGAAAACAAAAAAGAAAAAGAACATCTGATAACTTGAATAAATCCCATTGTAGATTATTTCTGTACTATTCAAAGATAGTACTTAGTATTGCACAATAGTAGAAAAAATAGAGATATTTATCCACATTAATTTGATATATTCGATAATAAACATAAATTTATTTTTATATTATTGAACTATTTATAACAAAATTATTTAGTGAAGTGAAGAATGGCTTTGACAGTAAAATACTTACCAGAATCAAAGTCAGCTCCTCCAGCATCCATGCCGCCTGGATTCCCATATTCTGTAATAAAAAACAAATGTGATTAATAAGAAGAAAGAATTAAGTAAATATCAATCAGCATTTAGATTAGTAGTTAATGGACTTTAACAGGATGTTAAAAAATATAACTGTAATGCCATTAAAGTAATTATGATAAAAATTATATTGCAAATAATAAACAAATTTGCTTTTGATTAATACTTTTGAGTAATTAAATAAAGTACAGATTAGTACACAGTTTCCATTGTAACGAAATATGAATAAATTCCCAGCTTATGCCTCATAGTAACATATGCATGACTCTAAATATAATAGAATTCTAATATAATATATTAAATTCGAGACAGGGATAGCGTTACAGAATTTGGAGAACAGGTGTAATAAGATATTTTGCTGTAAATTGCAAACAGAGTAATTATTGAGAAATATTTAAGTATAATTCATCAGAGTTGTACAAGTTCAATGTTACAGGCGTGAAACCTTATGCATCTTATGTTAATTCAGTTTTCACTATTACTAAAAAAGACATGAAGCATCATCATTTTTTTTAAGTTTCTCTACATATATCTATGTTTTTTTATTTTGATTTTAATTTAAGATATTATTTTAAACGTTAATTTCATTTTTTATATTTAAAACGAAAAAGATATATACATCATTAAAAGACAAACTTGTATAGATTATTTTTTGGTAAATGCTGTATTAAAATCTAAACTAATCCCAGTTTCTACCAGAATTTTGTTATATTTAGAGTTATCCATATGTTGCTATGGAGTGTGAATTGGAAATTTACTCATGTTCATTCTAATTCAAGATAAATTTTCACAGAAATTATTGAAGTTTCTGTGAATGTTTCATCCATAATTGATTTACGCATACAATCCACTCACTAACATTAAAATGCTAAGTATAATTTAATTAGCAAAATGAAATGAAGGAAGAAAGAGTACGTGTGTGTGTGTCAATGCTGCGCAGCTCACACGACACGAGGCAAGAAGCATGAAAAATGAGGTTAGGAGCGAAGAAGGTGCGCGCGTGTGTCGCGTGAGAATCGAGAGGGAGAGAGAGAAAGAGAAAAAGAAGGAAAGAGAGAGAAGCAACTAGTAAAAGAGAAAGGCAGAACTTGAATTTTGGACACATAAAAAACATAAGAGCGTTGCTCAATGTTTCGAGACGCGTTATTAGTTTTTTCGTTCCAACGTTTATGTATTATATCGCGAAAAGGGAAGAAAAAGTGGTAAGGAATAAAGAGAGAGAGGATCGTCCTTGATATGTATAAACTTTACATAATTTGTGCTCGACTGTATGGTCGATTTTGGTTGCACACATATGCACCGTAGGGTAGATAAATAGGTATAGATCGAAGCTGAATTACATCACACTTGCGCTCCTCCGCGGATGGGACGATTCCACTCGTTTATCATGTGGCGGCCGCAATTGCTTTATTCGCGCAATCGGGACGCATTTTTGACTCAATTCACGCGATTCGCTCATGAAAAAAAAAGCGAACGCTGCATAGAAAATCGGCATTGCGACGCACGATAGCAGTCGGAAGTTGCGAATATTCGACTCCACGAAGGTAGAAAAGAGAAAGAGAGAGAGAGACAGAGAGAGGGGGGGAGAATGGAGGAAAGAGAAAACATGCAAGGAACGATGAAGGGAGAGCGAAATAGGAGGGAGGGGGGGCTTGCGGCCATAAGGAGCAAGAGAGCGAAGCGCGGAGGGACGAAAGGGGCTATCTTCTCGACCGATATGCAGCCGGCCATCTTGAATCCTGGGTGCCGTTGAAAAATTCTCTTTACACGGCGCTTGACAGGACCGGTAGCGAAGTTGCGGAAGACGATAATCGTGCATGCACGCTAGGGATTCAACGCGCACCCTTTTCTCGCGATAGAATACGTCTCCGGGTCCCTCGCGACAACGGAGGGGATAGGAGCGGAGGGGGGGAGGGGGTCACCATTGCGCTAGCTCTTGTAAAGCTCCAAGGCAGACAAAACTCCGGAGTTTATCGCGTGTAGACACACCGCGATGTATAAACGGCGGAGCCAGCCATAAGGCCGAGAAGCCACGGGCGAAAGAGATGTCGATCCGTGCACATTTCGTCCGTTCGATGCGACGCCGTTAGGACATAGCGGTTGAGCGACCGCGAGGCGAGTACAGGAGGGAAGAGAAAGAGAGAGAGAGAAACGCACGGCAACACAGAGAGAATGTTTGGCTACGGCATTTCGCCTAGTTGTTCTTACTTTGCGGCTGATCGTCGAGGCTTTCCCGGTCGGACATTGTGCTCCTTGCAACACGCTTCCCTCTTAATTACAATTTCACACGTCGTCGTCCCTCGACGTCTTCTTTCCAGTGGCGGGTCCCCGGCGATCGGAGAGTGAGAGAAAAAGAGAAAGAGTGTACACGAAGAGTAAATAACGAGAGAGAGAAAGATAGAGAGAAAAAGGAGAAAGAAAGAGATCCCCACGACACACTAGTCCGTGAAGGCGCGCGCGAGACCCCTTCGAGACGACGGCGACGACGATAATCTCTCTTTCTGACCACCAAGCGAGCTAGCTGCACACAAAACCCAAATGTGTATCTTCCTTCACTCTGTAACCAGCACAGCGTACTGCGAATTTTACACTTTCTCGTTTTTTCCTTCGACCTTCCACACACCACGGCCCGACCGCCGACCGACCGTCCGACCGACCGACCGACCGTCCGTCCACGGCACCAGTCGTCACCACCACCACCGCACGCGCTCGCCTAGCTCGCTCGCTCGCTCTACGCCGACACACACCGCCACTCTACCGCACGCTCGTGCTGGTTCCCGACTAGCGCTCGCACTCGCTCGCTCGCTTGCTCGCTCGTCTTTCGCTCTCGCTCCTCCACCTTTTCACCAATCCCCCCTCCGCATGCGCGATCGGTTGATGCAAGAGGGACAACAGAAGGATGAAAGGGAAAGAGAAAGAGAGAGAGAGAGAAAGAATATGGCAACGCGTGTATAGAGCTTTATTATGCTTTCTTGCAACGATATATATATACATATATATATTTATATATGTAATGCATATTAGTCAAAGTTGCTAATATAAACGCAATATATTTCTTTTTTTCCTTATCTTTTAGCGTTTGTCTGTTCCGTAACTGCAAATTTCACACGATGGCTTTTGAGGTATCTATACATGCGATATGTTCGATATATCGAATCGATTCTTTGTGCATACTCGACAATTCTACATACAAATGATTACTAGCATTTCAATATATGTATTGAAGAAGCACGACATTCATAAAGATTATTTTACGCGTTTTAAAGCGTGTTTAAAAAAGAAAAAGTTTTTGTGCAGAAAATTTTGCATTACATGTTGGTATTATAATGCATAATAACTATAGATTATGCAATGTATAATTTCCACCAATCACGTTTCGTTGAAGTTGTCAGTGGATGACCAATCACTATTGAGGCATGTGTTAACAGATTGACCAATCAGATTTATTTAACTCACTTCATTTCATTATGTTTTGCTAAATAGATATTCCCTTCTCATAAACACCGGTTATTTTTTAGTCTATGATTCAAAGAGACGCATAACCTTTATTCTAACGTAACTTTACGCTGGAATAAGTTATTTCACTCAAGTTTCCATAGAAAGAGGATATATATATTTAAATACGTAAGTATATAACATATATTATATGCTTGTTTTATCATATTAATGATTTATAAGATATATAGATACTTTTGTAAACTAATTAAAATGTAGTGTTTATTTATCTCATACATTATTTCCGTTAACTAAGAATGTAACCTTTACAATTTTTTTTAGCGAAAATGGACATTCGTCCAAATAATACTATTTATATTAACAATTTAAATGAAAAAATCAAGAAGGAGGAGCTGAAGAAATCATTGTACGCTATTTTTTCTCAATTTGGTCAAATTTTGGATATTGTGGCACTAAAAACACTGAAAATGCGTGGACAGGCCTTTGTTATTTTCAAAGAAATAGCGAGTGCGACAAATGCCTTGAGATCTATGCAAGGCTTTCCATTTTACGACAAACCAATGGTAAGAATCAAATAAAATGTTTATAATTTTGTCTATATGTTTGTATTTATAAAAAGAAATACTATATTCTGCATATTATAAATCATACAAGTGTGTATTAACTGTTTAAAGAGCTACATACATCTAGAACAAAACTAGAGTCATGTTTGAGAATTTTTTTTGTGTATAAGAATTGTTTTTTTTTTAAACCTTTCTATATACATTTAAAAAGTCATTATTTTATCTCTAATTTCTAACAATTTTATTCAAAAAATTTTTTAAATAATATGGTTATTTGCATAAGGTAGTTTTTTAAAATCATTTGTAGTATCAGAGATATCTCTGTCACTTTTTATTTGAAACAAAAAGAAAAAACAAAATGGTCTTCTAAAGTAGATAAATAATGAAAATTTCAGGGAATATCCTTCAAGAATAGTACTTTCAATTAAATATATTTTTGAAAAATTGATTTATTTTACCTACATAGATGTATGTAGCCTTTTAACAGGCCTTTATACAGGCTTTTGCAAACAAAAGTATATTTAATCAGTAAATTTCTACATATATATGCTTATAATTGTTATAAGCATGCTCTCTTATAGAAAAAATACTTGGTATTTCATAAAAAGTGAAAGAACTTGTCATGAATAATCTTATAATCTTGTAATTTAATTTTATGCAAGAAAAGTTTTATTTCTTGTTACTGGAAAAATAAAAAATATTTATATGTTAAAGGGTTATATACAGGGTGTCCCATTTTAAAAACCCCACGTGAATAACTTTTCAGAGAGACAAATCAATTGGTATAAAGAAAACACATAGTTGCTTTCAAGAAAAAAATTTGTAATTTGCAACATGCAACTGCATACTTTTTTTTAAAACCAATGTGTTTTCTTTATATCAATTCATTTGTTTCATTATTTTGTGCATAAAAGTATTAAGGTAACATTCTCAAAAACTGAATGTTTTACAAGATATTTTATATTTTATGTCAAAATATTGTAATTTACAAGCCTCATAACTCGAAAAGTACTTAATGAAAAATAACTTCATTATAGTGTTTTGAAAAGCTCTTGACACCAGCTATTAGATTTTGGAATCAAAAATAGGGTGTTCTATTTAAAAAAACAAAGTTGACTTCCATATGACCTTGGCGTGTACACCCTAGGTTAAACCAATGTCATCATCGGATGTCCCCCTCCAAACAACCCAACAATTTTGGTCTAAATCATTTTTCTTGAAAATGTTTCTCTGAAAAGTTATTCACGTGGGGTTTTTAAAATGGGACACCCTGTATATAAGGGTTATGATACAAAAAATTATTTTTATCTTTTTCTCTTTTATTTTTGTAGAGGATACAGTATGCTAAAACTGACAGCGATATAATAGCAAAAATGAAAGGTACCTTTGCGGAACGTCCAAAGAAACCGAAACGAGTCGTCCCAGCGGCGGATGAAGAAGCCAAACGTGCTAAAAAACGCGCGAAAGAACAAGCAAAACATTCACAGCAAGTTGGCTATCATGCCGGTGTGCCCCAACATCCAGGACTCGTTAATACCGCTGTTCCAGAGCAACCTCCAAATCAGATATTATTCTTAACAAATCTACCAGATGAAACTAGCGAAATGATGTTATCGATGTTGTTTAATCAGTTTCCGGGCTTCAAAGAGGTGCGATTGGTACCTAATCGGCATGATATTGCGTTTGTCGAATTTGAAAACGAAGTTCAATCGGGGGCAGCAAAAGATGCTCTTCAAGGTTTCAAGATTACACCTTCGCATGCAATGAAAATATCATTTGCAAAGAAATAGGTTTGTAATTTTGTTTTATTATTAATAAATACGATGGCGATATTTAAACAAGATGTAAATTGAATTTCGTTCGTATGATAAATATTACTAATATTGGCTAATTGTCCCAATATTATGTAATAGAAAGTATTTTGCCTAGTGTCAGATTATTTTTTTTACAGTGGATTTCAATGAATACAATAGTTAGTTTTGTAATTTGTCATTCCGTATGAACTCTCCGATAATTGAAACATTTAAGTTTAAAAAAATATATAAAAAATATATAAATTACTGCAAATTTTGTATATTGTATTGATTTTTTCGAATATTTTTGCTACAAATTTGTACTTTTTTGAATTTTAGATATAAAATGTGTAAAAAATTATATATACCTGTATATATATATATATATATGTACGTATATCTATATGTATTTGTGCATATGTATTTGTCATGTTTGCATATCATATATATATATATATATATATATACGTATCTTATATACATATTATATATATAATACAGAGCAAAATAACAGAAACAATATTTCTTTTTTTAGAACTCCCATTTGCTATATTATTGTAATATATTTTCCAATAGATTATTTTATAAATTTACGAAATTTATAAAGAAAATGTTTAAAACGATTATTTAGAAATACTGTAAATTTTAAAACATATTGCATCCGAGTTGCACGTGTAGACAAGAATACATATAATACGCGTGACTATATACTATACATATAAAAATAGTAATTATATTACCGTACACTTAAAAATAATGCATTACTACAATAAGATTACGATTCACTAAAGTCGTCCAATAATTAACATATTTCTCTATTGTAAAAGCCTGATAGTTTTAATTATTTTTCACATTTTACATATTAGCCCACTAAAGACACACAAGTTCCTATCACAAAATAAAATAAAATCGTACAAAATTATCATGCAATGATGACTGACGTTTTATAAGTTTTATTTATTATTTTACAACAATATCGACAAATATTACGTAGATCATATATGTTGCATGATATATCATATATGTTACTTTCAGAAAATAGAGAAATTTTGGGAATTAACACATTTTGATGATCATTGTAGTCTATTGTTTTTTGTAATTTTTATGTGATAATGTTTATTTACCTTTATAAACTTGTGTATCTTTTATCTTTTGTAAAGATCAGAAGTAGAGATCAGATTGATATATTAATCAAATCTCGCGAAAATATATTATTTGATTAAATCTAGCATATACGCCTTTATGTGTGTATACATATACAGAAAGACAAAACTTTAATCGCACGTATTATTGTGAAATCAGATTAACGTTTTACATAAATTCGCATTATATAAAATTTTTTTCGTTTGATACTTAAACACCACTAACAGGAATCTTTGCTGATAATTTGCCATGTTCGATTATTCGATAAAAAGAAGTTAATGTAAATAAATCTTATTTCAGTATCAATAAGTTTATTAATATTGGAAGTTTAAGAGTGAGTTTTTAGCGATTTTATCTTTAAAAATAATAAATCACCTTGAAAAGTTTTGTTTTTAATTTATTATTTCAGGACGTTTTTGGTTGTAAAATTATTTGTATTTGAAATTCCAAAATATTTTAATATTTTCAGACGAGATTAAGTAATATTATATTTTATGATATACAATAAAAAAAGAATAGAAATGAAAGAAAGTGTATGTACAGATATAACGCATTTGTTTTCCTGTTTTCTAGTAATAAGATAAAATCGATTATTTTTAACACATATCGATAGAACAAAGGAAATTAATTTTTTGCGGATCGAATTTAATTAATTTCGAATTAATTTCGATAAATAAATTAATATTAAATATTCCATCCTTATTTTAACTATCGAATTTTATCGCTATCGATTAAGATAAATACAATAAATTACTGTTGTTTAAGAAATTTGATGAAAATTAGAACAAAATAGTTTGCTAATTATATATTGCTTCAACTATCTGCTATGCGTAGGATTGTCGTAAAGCATAATATCGAGTTTATCTCGATAAAGGATCGAAAAGATTAAAAGGATATGATAAAAATAATTAAGAAATAATCCGTCATCTAATGTTCATTAAAAAGTGGAAATTGAACGAAAATTATGCTTGAGAAAACGTGCGATTTTTACGATACTTTTACATACACACTCACAAACAATACACACATACACGCACAAATTTTAAGTTGCAAATGCAACACGGAATGCAAATGTAGACTTAAATAATTTGTTTCCATCTGCGATTTTGCGATGAATTTGCGCAAATTGTAATCAGCCTTGCAATGGCAACAGCTTACAGTATAAATAGTTATAAATAATATAAGTAATATACATAATATATTCGTCTATATTATAAGTAGATATTTATCAATCAATTCGGAAGTTTCTGGTGGATTAATTTACAATTATAAAATGAGTTAGCATCTGTTATTGTCTATTGTATGGGAAGTCTTTTCGGAGCGTATGAAATGATAAATTAGGCTCAATGATAAAAAGCAGCGTAAATAAGAGTGCCAAGAAATGTCAGGAAAATATAGAATATTTCCGGTGATGGGAATATTGTGCCATTGCAGGCTTCTTTAAGACAGAGCGAGCATTGCTCCATTCTGACCATTCTATTCTTTAGCGTTTTGTTCATTGCCTGACATGGATAAACGGCTTCCGTCTCGGCCATTTGGCATGTTCTTACAGTCACATTTTGGTCTCCGACTGGAAAAATACATCATATTTATGTTAGCTATCATATGTTATATATCACTATATCGATCACGTTTCGCTTTGCGCGAACGTTTGCAGCTACTTGCCATAAAGGACCATTTTAGCACAGGCCATGTGGTGGGGAGTGCGATAATTTTGTAGCGATTCAGCGACTTCGAAAAGTGGAGCGAACGACCTGGGAATATTGTGCTGCTTGATGATTCTCTGCCATTCTATCATCTTCGGAAGTGTACATTCAACGGGATGCAACGAGTGTACTGTCAAACCGGAACCACAATTTTCGTCCGACAGTGATGTGCACATGTAGCATTTCAGCACATTCTCTATAAAAAGGAGACGTAAATAACAAGTCGTTTTGCGCAAATCAAAGTGGTTGTACCGTATATTACACATATTGATGAGTTATTTTTTTTTTTTGCGAAATGAGAGTAAACAAATAATATCCTCTTTAATATTAAAAAAATAATAATAAAAGTTTGTCTTTCATATAATTTTACGTAAAACTACGTAATACTACGTTTTTTGAGAAAATTGTTTTGTTTCTGTATGAGAAGTTCTTTTAGATCTTTTTGGTAATCTTGGAAAAAGTCGGGCAAGAAGATCAAAATGGGACAGTGTACACACACACATATATATATATATATAAGTGTATATACATATACTTACATCTATACAATGAAGGGTGGCTATTCTTTAGATCGCAATGGCAACATGGCGCCAAACGACGCGATACCCTTAGCTTTGTATACACCGTCGTTATGTATGTATGGTATATATATATATATATATATATATATATATATATATATATATTGACGAAACTTTCTTCATCTACGTCTTTTCTCTCTTTGTTTTTTAACAAATATTTTTCACGCACGTTATATATTTCTTTAGCGGATATCAAAGATCTCGCGTAAATATCTCAATTTCTCAAATATCGTAATTGTTATTGTGCAAAACACAATGCCGACAAAAATTGCGATTAAATTAATTTTAATTATAATTACATATACATATATTATCTTATATATGGATAATTATAAATTTGGCAGAGTTTTAAACTTATGAAGCCATTTCTATGATAATAATGACTATATGTCGACTAGATTAGAAATTAATAATTATATTTTTTATAATAGTAATCTAGTTTTACGTATACATCGACAAAAGCTTTCTTCTTTACGCAACATTTCTCTTTTTCTTTATCTTTTAAAAAAATATTTTACGACGAGTTATAATTTTTTTTTAAGGTTTTAGATATGTTTTCGCTTTCGGTAACGTATTATTATAGATATAAATTGATGATTACCTGAATAAACTTTCACAACGAGGGCTGAAGCGATGAGTAGTATTGCAATTCTTCGATGCATCTTGCTTTTTTGTGATCGATGTGTTTTTATCCTCTCGATGATAAAAATACAAATTAGACGCTTTCAAGGGGTAGCACTTTTCGGAAGGGGTTGTCGTCGTGTAGACAGACTGATCGCGAGTACGACTCTGCGAGCTTTCTGTATCCTGCGCGTTACTCGCCCTCTATTTTCTCCTACCACGTTGCCCTGGACAGTTTATACTCTCCACCGTTGCCCAAACTCTCCGCTATATATAACTCACGCACGACTCATGGATTTCATTTGTTGGGGTGAATATTTTCTTCTACGCAGTATATTTACATTGATACATTTCATGATATTCACTAACATTGCTTATTATTGGATTTCGTTTTTTTATTTTCAGATGGAGGTTTTCAAGGATGAAAGTATTTGCAAGAGAAAATCATGTTTAATATTATTGTTTCTCAAATTGTAATTGTGATTACAGCAATATGTATCTTTTTCATGTAATTAAGGAATGAATATCCGCTTATGACAATTGTATTAAAATTTTTTGTAATTAGAATTTTCGCACTCGGTGCAAAAACATATAAAAATAACTTTGTTAAGCAAATTAAGAACATTAAGTTTTCATGCTTCATGACATATGTGTGCAGGATTAAAAGGATGATATTTTGTAATAATTTTTAGAAAAAATATAAAATGTTTATTTTTATAACAATACTTTTTGGAATGAAAGTTTTGTTTAAAAATGCAAATGTTTATAACTGTATTGAATCGATATAAAACGTAGGTAGATGTGACGAAATTTTGTAATTTTCAAGTCTTTATTAATCGCGATCGATACTACGCGTGGAACGGCTTATGAGATAAGAAGTTAGCAGGGTAGAACCAAGGGGAGAAAATGAAAGAGGGTGAGAAAGAGGGAGCAAGGGAGGAAGGGAAAGAGAAAGGGGAGATATACGCTCGGCGCCGTGGCGCCCATAAAAGTCGCCGTCGCGGCGACGCCGCTGACGCCGTCTGTCTAGAATTCGTACTGCGATAACTTCGCAGTATTCAGCTTAGCAATTATTGAAGTACATCTCGCACAGAAAAAGTAGATATTTCATTTTTTTTCAACTCTTACTTTCTACTGCTCTTTACACGCTCAGTTAATCTTGCTACTTATTGTCGTTTGCTTCCTTTGTCATTTCTGTCGTTTTTTATAACGTTGCGCTTACACAGTTATTCCTATTGGATCTTTTGTGTCGCAGTTGACAAACAAAAGAGAACAAGACGGAAGTAGCTGCATCATATTTTTGTCATAGATCTTGTACTTGTTACTTCTTTTTCTCGGAAGAATATAACATTAGTTACTATTAAATGATTTAAAGTTGGCGAATGATATAGATTGTCTAACAAAATAAGGGCTGTACCAATTATTACTTGCTACAATATTAATTTGATTGATGCAGCAATAATTTACGATACGGTATATACGGTGATAAATCTAGCAGTTGAATACTTATACCTTGATATACATAGGAAGTAGATTACGAGGTAGGGTGAGCATCGTTGAGATCGATTATAATCGTAACTCATGCATTCGCAGACAAGATGATAACTATCTCGGTTATCTCGATTATAGCGTGCTCGATAACATCCGTATTTCGCGATTTTACGATTTTACACAATTTGTTAAATTGTTGCAGATTTATAAATTAATCTAAATAAAGATCTAATTTAAATTTTAGATCTCTATTTAGCTTGAACAGAATCGTTTCACTAAATAAAGCTTGACTTATTTACAATTGACGATATATATATAATGTTATAAATTTACTTGATTACATAATTTTACAGTCGAGTCTACTCAGGCACATTAACAACTCGCGATTTACGCTAATAATAAAGATGACGCGACGGGTATAATTTCAGACGTTTAAAATGGATTTTATTAACGGTGCAATTCTTTCCTTCATCCTTTCCGCTTTTCGCACACAGACAAAATTTTATCTTAATGCATTATTTTTTAGTATTTACTATTGATTGTGCTTTTCGTATTGCAATGATATATAAAGAAAAGTCGTACAGAGACAACAAGAAAATGTATAATATTAAAAAACATCTCTAACAAATTACTTCAACATTTCTAAATATTTTTTCAGTTAATTGCTAATTAATCGATTAATTTAGATCACTTTCTATCAAAATAAATAATCAAGAAAAATGGAGCATTAATTAAAATCTCCATGTTGGAAGAAACTGTTAACTAAAGTAATATTAAAAAAAGAATAATCTTTTTCTCAGTCAAGAAGCTCACTTTTTAGAAATACATAAAAATAATAATATTGTAATATTGATTTGTGCAGCGTAATTCGTTGCTTCGATACATTGACTGATTTTATGATTTAACAAATTTTTTTTTTAATCGTATTACTGCGTAATCGTTGCGTTGAGATTTCTTATAAAATATCTCTTATCAAATGTTTCATTGCATTCAAATAAATTTAAAGTAAAACTACGAGAAAATTAAATTTTGTATTAAGTTGGATTTCGCAAACACGATTGAAACTTTGTTATGTTTGTATTTCAGTACAAGTTGGCAACGAGTAGTGCATGACATAAGTCGATTATATATTTCAAGATCAATGTGATAATAATACATTACGTTTGTGTAAAGATATTTTCGGCATATTTATGTGCAAATAAAATATTTATACATTTTATAACTTCATCCTCGAAGATGGATTGATATTAAGTAACGTACAGCAAAGTAAAACACTGATAAAATATATAGTAGGGATCATAAGTGCTAAAGCGTGTCAGGGACTGACAGCATCGCTGTGACGCTAACTATGTTAATATTAGCCAATGGCAATGAAAGGATTAGATATTTAATATTAATTTGCACCTGTACATCCGTACGGGATTTTGCGATCGTAAGATGAGTGACAATTGAACAAAAGTAAATTCGGAGACAGTGGTAATTATACATTTTTAAAGATAAGTCGTAGTTATCGTGCTGATTTTCAAACAAGTTTCTTCAATTATTTGGCTTGAAATTTCTGTTATCCAGAATTAATTTATTTAAAATCAGAAACAAACACATATGATATGTTGTGATATATAGAGAAAAAATTAAAAAACGTTTAGTTATTGATAAGTTGTTTCCTGTCTAAGAAAAGTGACGAGTCGATTAAATTATAGTTTTTTTAAAAATAATCTGTTATTGTATTTCTCGTGCTGTTGCTCGCGTTAAAGAACGTTTTAAACTTATTTATGACATAAGCTGTAAATATCGTGTTGAAGCAATCATTAAAATTTAATCTCAGGTTCGTGTTTAGAAAATACGCGGAAAAACGTTTACTTAATCTACTGGCAAAGTAAGCAAATTGGAAAATTATCCGATCTAATATTATCTGATCTAGTTCGTATCGCAAGAAAAACTGTGCATCGAAACACAGAGAACGCAAAAAAGTTGGAGAACCGGTAAAACGTTTTTATTATTTGTATTACCGTAGTATACTTGGACGCGTAACGCGCAAATACATGAGTATGTAACTACGTGTAACAGTTTCGTGACGTTGAATATATCACAGGAAGATGAACATTATCCACTCAACGTGCTCCAAACCACCACTTTACTCTCTATTTGAACGTAAAGCTCGTATCATCCACAGCCTTATCTATTTAACTCATATATTCGTGTCAATTCTTTGCAGAATGTTAAATCTTCTTTTTTAGTTAGTTCGCTAAAAATAGTTGTTGCTAAAATAGATAAAATTTTACTGTTTGCATAATTGAGAATAGATCACGACGTATGCCGTTAATGTTATCAAAATTTTCATTTTTTTACAATTTTTTCGATTTATTGTTCCTTTCCATTTATCGTGATTTTATAATCTTCAATCTTTTTTTATCGTTAATTAAGAGTAAATTAAATTTTTGCTCTAAACTAATTTCGCAAAAAATTGTTCGAACTTGATTTCATTGAACAGCTTCATGTGTAGAATGCATTACGTAAGTACGCATAAATAAATCTGATTAATGCTGGTATAAAAACTAAACCGGATCGATACAGAATTATTATCTTCATTTGAATTTTATTCGTCACTCGACGTGTTGAAAAATTGCCCTTTCGTACACCCCGCAACATACACACATACTACGTAATATATTTATTAGCATCCTCATTTCCTCGAATAAGAATTATCGATTTCTCAAATATCAACATTTTAAAATGATGATCATTATTTAAGATATTTTCGTAATGTTTGCGGTATTTATTCAACGCATAAATATTTATAAACGCAACTGTTGATTACGAAATAGTATAAAGAGAAGGTGTTAAAAAATAAATGACGTAACTAAAATTGTGAATTTAAAGAAATTTTGTTCAGTAATAGGAAAATCGATCGGTCCCAGGGTTATTCGTGGACGAGTCGTCTATTCCCCACGTTCTCCTCCCACCGCCATGACCACACACGTTCGCCTCGTTCTCCCTTCCTCGGGCGGAATCTCGTGTTCGTGTTCAGTACTGCGCTCAATGATACTGTATACATTAATGCTAGAGTTAGTGAGCTTGCGCCACGCTAGCGCCGAACATTACAGTGCTTTCTCTGTTCTTCAGGTCAAATGATACCTTCAAGTCTTTTCAATTCTTGATTTACTCTCTCTTTCTCTTTTTTTCCCACTTCCATTTCTCTTTCCTTTTTTCCGTTTCTTGATTGATCTGTTTTCAATCTCTTCTGTTTCCCCTTGCTCCCTCATACTTGTTTCGTATTTTTCTTTCCGCGAGGATTGCGGTATCTGTACGCATCAGTGAAGCTTTTTAGTGAACGACACTTTTTCGTCCGAGAAGAAAGAGATTAAAGAAAGATGAACACAATTTTTAGAGTGAAATCCGTCGTTATCGCTCTATCATTATGTATCTTTCTGTTTTTATGCTTAAGCGGTAAGTAACGGCGATATTTCGAATGGATAGTTTTTCAAGTCTATCTAGACTTAGAATTTATTGCGAATTATTTGCGGTCATTTTGAAAAAAGTTATATTACGACAGTTTAAGTAGTTTAAAAATTTTTAAACTATTTAAATACTTTGTAAACAAGTGCAAAATGTTATTTGCGACACAATCGTATAACTGGCACAGTGATTATAAACGTCGATATACTAATAGTTGTGACATACAAAAGCATTGATAAACGAACCGCTGAAATATTTACGACGGTAAAACCTTGAGTTATAAAACAAAGTTTAAATTAGGATAGTAAAATCTTTTTAACAGCATACATAAATTATTTAATGATAAAACTATTAAAACATTAAAATTATTGTTTGTAAACATTCTTACGGAATACGTAAATTATTAATGAATTACCGCGATACTCGTAATTTCGTCGAAGAAATTTACACAAAGAGGAATTCACAAGAGTAGAATATAAATTTTTTTTGTGTCGCGTTGTGAATTTATAAGAATAATAATTTGTTGATACAATTTTTCATGTTTAGTGAGTACGCTCTAAGATAAAAAACAAATCGTAGAATATGCGCGCATTGAAAAGCTTTATCGCACGAATATTTCTTTCCGGGCATATAAACTGGTGTGGCTGCATTGATTTTTCTACGGGGTAGCATCACTGAGAGTTCAATGAACTATATTCGTTTATATCCGTGCACTGACGTAAAGGTGATCGATTAATAAAAGGATATAATCATTTCTGTTACAACGCTCACTTTTTCACGAGTTCATTATCAATTCTTTTTCATCTTCTTCGTGTAATTTTGAGCTATCTATCTACTACGTCTGGCTATCTATCAGCTATGCATATCTACATGTAAGCAGAAATTTGAATACAGCTGAGTAATATTTTCCGCTCGATATTTCATTTGTGTTATGAACGGTTAGGTAATTTTTCAAAATTATAATTATTCTTCATGAATGTCTTCGAGAAGCGGCAGTGCAAGGTAAATGTAATTATTCTGACAAATTATGGTATAATATGACGTCTAGAAAACTATAAAGCTATATCTTCACAAATTAAGATATCGTTTAATAGTCTGATTATCTTCTTTCCGTTATGAACTTTGACTTTATTATCGTATGATGTTGAGCATAATTTTATTAGGACGCGTAACATTACAACCAAGTTAAATTGCGAAAATATGTATTTGTTCATTATTATTTAATACCTCATCAAGGACAAAGACAGAGAAAGGAGAGACAGGGAAGGGTCTTAAATTTTATTAGCACGTAGTGGAAAAATTTGAACTTCCGCAATTCCGCAATTTATTATTGCTGCTCAATCAAAAGGAACAATTCAATTTAACTATTAAACGTTTTAAAAGTATTTATCTGACAATTACAAATTGTAATCAAATATCAATTCTGCAAATAAATAACAACTATAACTCGTGATTACGAAATAAAATATAAACGAAATCTATATGATGATTAATTTAAGATTGTATTCATATGTATGTGCGTGCGTATACGCAATCACGCGTGTAAGTACTCGTTTTTTTTACTAGACAATAAAATAAATTATAATATTTTACAGATGTCGATGCCATGCAATGTTACCAGTGCAACAGCCGCAATAACAGTCAATGTGCTGATCTTATGCCACCAGATTCTCTGAAAATAGATTGTTCGAATCTCAAGGATGGCGCAAAGTATACGATGTGTCGAAAAATTACACAAGTAATTGAGTTCAGCGTCAACGGCTGTACGTATCAACATTGTGTTAATATAGTATCAAGTGTATATTAATTAAATTAATTAATATGATTATATCACATATAATTGTTTTAACATTCTCAAAGATAATTCCTCAATATATTTTACTGAAAATGTAGTGAAACAAGCATTAGAAAATTCCAAGATGAATCCGAGATACATCAGCAGATGTATAAATACAGATGAAACACATAAAATAAACAGAAAATAAAATCACTCTTTTTTTTTTCAGTACCACCTGATACGAGAGTTATTCGAGGGTGCGGATGGGATGAGTCGAATTACAAAGGCAAGTGTTATCAACGAAGCGGCTTCGGTGGTAGACAAGAAGTTTGTTCTTGTTTGACCGATTATTGTAACGCGGCGACACCCGGAAGTTTGCCACCTCAACCTCTTATTCTTTCATGCGCTCTAATCAGCGTGCTGCTAGCGTTTTTACGAAATTAGCTATTCTTAAACAAATCAGAATTCTTCGTAGGTTTTAATCATGAGACCATGATGAGCGGAGGCTGAATTAGTGGTAGTATTAACTAGATTAGAGGAGGATTAATATCTGTATCCTTTTACCGATGCGAATTTGAACGATAGATAGTTAATAAAAATAATTGCTTATATTTTAAAGCGCAGAAGATGAAAAAAAAAAACAATTTTACGTTTTATATATCATAGAATACGCGAATAACGAAAAATTATATTCAAGAAATAAATAAACTCCATATATAAAGTTAGTATTTCATCTCAATATACATAGAAGTTTTATTCACCTACGAGTTGTTCATGTTGACTTGGCAAATTGTATTTTTTATTCTTATCTTATTGTAGTTCTTTATTGTCATTCCAACAACTTTAAACGAACTATATTTGCAAATATATTACATTAAGATTTGACATCTCATGATTAAAAATCTAATACTATTCTACGAAAAAATAATTATATTATATATTCTGAAAAAAGTTTAAAATATATGAGGTTGCTAAACATTGTATAATTCAGTTAGTTAAATATTAGCAATATTGATAGATTGACAGCAAATTTTATTAAACTTGCTGCCAATATTGCTAACATTTTACTTATTAGGAAAGTGCTAGACACATAATCACGTCTATTTAATAAAGTTTTTAAATTATACAAATCGAAATGAAACGAAAAATATCTTTATAAAATATCTTTATAAAATATAATTAAAAAATATATTTAAATTTTGTAACACTTGTGGCATTTATAAAATTACAGGTAAATTGTACAATTTGTTCGTGTAAAGAAAATAAAAATAATATACTTTAAATATCATGACAAATATCTTCTACATTATTTATCTTATCCTCTTATCATATCATAATCCTACAAAAGTTTGCATCTATTGAACAGTTAAAAAATTTGAAAATTAAAAAAATAAATAAATAAAATGTTTGTCTATTTTTTAGATTTTTTAAAAAATATCAAACTTAATCGAATTAACTTTTTGACGGCAACAAAATTGAAAATTTTTTAAACTATCTTTGCGGACAAAATCTATTTTTAATATGTAAGGGTGTTAGAACAATGTGAGAAATATCAAGTTGTCAAAAAAATTCCTACAATTTGATAAAAGTATTATTAAAAGAGTATTATCGTATAATTTAGAAATGCATTTATAGACATGATAATTTAACCATAGCTGGCATATGACGACAGAAGGTAAGTAAAACGTTTTACTTATCAATTATAAGAAATACAAGTACAAAAGTGGAAAAATTTACTTATCGACCGTAAGTTAATACGGAAATTGAAGCAAGATAATGTATGTATCTTGTTACGTGAAGTTTGAATCTTGATTAAATAAAGTTTAAATTGCTAAATGAGATTTAAGTTTTATCAAAGTTACTATCGATTAAGTTCAAGTTTCTTTCTTTTTCTACATATATTGAGCTCTCAAAAATCTACAGTGAGTAAAAAAAAAAGAACGAAAATATGAATAAAAAGAAAAAGAAAATATGATTGCAAGGTAGCATAAAGAAAAGTCTATTCTAATTCAAAAAGTTTTAAATTTAGAGTGAGATGTAGGATAAATATTCAGAATTAATATCTAGGCAGATCCTATAATGAGAGGTAGAATCAATTGTTTGAGATTTTTCAATATATTTATTTGTATGGACAAGTTGGAGCATAGTGCACAATATATTTATTATATATAGTTTGAGGAAGGGTTCAGAGTACATTCTGGAGTTTGAACACAATATCTTACAATTTAACGACAAGATGCCTGCATGTTTTCTTTTTCTTCTGTACCTGCTTCTTTACGTTATGTTTATTCGTATATTCATATACTCGAGATGTATAATATATAAAGCGCAACGACTCACTATTTATATCATTCTAAAAAAAGGAGACGAGAATAAGGGTCCTTGTTTATTATGTTATGTCTCAGTTCTTTTCGCATCATCTAATATACCACTCGCTCTCTTATCTATGCTCCTGTTCTTTTCTTACACACCATACATACATATCTGCTATTCATCTATTCACTCTTTCGTTCATTCATTTTCTCTCTTTCTCTCTTTCGCTCTCTCTCACGATATTCACTATCGATTATGCAATGTCCTGGCAAATATACGTAGTACTCGCTATAGTGTCGTATCCTCAGATACATACGTTATCTCCAATTGCTAATTACACATGGGCGAGTTGCGTGCTTAGGGAAATTCTCGTTCTCGCAGGGCGAGCAGAGGCGGGCGAGGGGCAGAGGTAGTATAAGAGGCGGAGCCGATCTACTTGAATCACAAACAACCGCAACCCGTCTTCCGATAACATGTGATTCAGATGTAGGTACAATAAGAAGGCTCTTTGATTACGATTGAAATTTCGGAGATGACTTTTTTTTTCTCTCCTTCTATATATATATATATTCCTAATTAGTGATTAAAGATCTATATTAAAATTCTTTTATTTTTTTCATTATGAAAAGCAAATACATTTTACAGCCTGTACAATTGAATAAAATGACGCGGCGCACTTTCTTGCTCTTCTTTCTTCAATCTTTATTTTTTATTTCTCTCTCTCTCTCTCTCTCTCTTTCACACGCACACACACTCTCTTTCTCTTCTTTTTCTTTGCACCTCCGCTCACGGAGGTAGGCGCGGTCCAGGGTAGGATCCAGGTACTCAGGCTATCTCTCTGCGTGTTTCTTTTCATTTTGTTTTCTTAATTTTTTTTATGTTCACGAAGATGCCATAGAATTGGGCCCCTCGTCTCAACGTGTGCTCTCTCCGTCGGTTTCTCTTTTTATTATTTGCTTTTTCTTTTTTACAAAAATCACAGCACAGCACCAACATTTATTTCTTTTAAAGCCCACCCCTTTGTCCGCTGGGCGTCCTACTAAACTGAGGCGAATCGCTTTTTACTCTTCTTTCTTTCTCTCTCTCTCTCTCTCTCTCTCTCTCTCTCTCTCTCTCTCTCTCTCTCTCTCTCTCTCTCTCTCT